CCGGCCACATTTTGCACCCTTATGAACAAGATTTTCCATCCCTACCTTGATCAGTTCGTGGTGGTCTACCTAGACGACATAGTCATCTACAACAACACCTCAACACCTTGGAGGAGCACATGGAGCATTTAAGGAAGGTTTTCCAAGTCTTGCGGGAGAACGAGCTATACATCAAGAGGGAGAAATGTGAGTTTGCACAATCAAAGGTGAACTTCTTGGGCCATGTCATTAGCAATGGCGAGCTACGCATGGACGAGGCTAAGGTACGTGCTATCCAGGAGTGGGAGGCACCTACAAAGGTAACTGAGTTGAGATCCTTCCTTGGAGTTGTTAACTACTATCGTCGGTTCATTAGTGGCTACTCAGCCAAGGCCGCACCATTGACTGAGTTGCTAAAGAAGAACAAGCCATGGGTTTGGACGGAGCATTGTCAAAAGGCATTTGAAGGCCTTAAGGCAGCTGTAATAGAGGAGCCAGTCTTGGCGTTACCTGACTTTGCCAAGACATTTGAGGTGCACACAGATGCCTCAGACTTCGCCATTGGGGGTGTCCTGATGCAGGATAAGCATCCCATAGCGTTTGAGAGCCGCAAGTTAAATGAGACGGAGCGGCGTTACACGGTGCAAGAGAAGGAAATGACTGCCATTGTGCATTGCCTTCGTACATGGCGACATTATCTGCTCGGGTCGAGGTTCGTGGTCAAGACCGACAATGTGGCTACTAGATACTTTCAGACGCAGAAGAAGCTCACACCAAAACAGGCTAGGTGGCAGGATTTCTTGACCGAGTTTGATTATGCGCTGGAGTATAAGCCGAGCAAAGGTAACGTTGTAGCCGATGCCTTGAGACAGAAAGTCGAGCTTGCTGCAATCACTTCAGCAAGATGGGACATTCGGGAGGCTATAAAAGAAGGCATGCAGCATGATCCAGCAGCCAAACAGCTTAGCCAACAAAGGCAAGACGAGACGGTTTCGGATAGAAGACGGCCTACTACTTACCACAGGTCGGCGGGTCTACGTGCCTAAGTTTGAAGACATTAGACGACGGATCATAAGGGAGAGTCATGACACAATGTGGGCTGGTCATCCAAGTCAACGTCGCACTAGGGCCTTGGTTGAGTCAATCTACTATTGGCCACGCATGCGAGATGACATAGAGTGCTATGTGCAGACTTGTCTTGTCTGTCAACAGGACAAGGTTGAACAGCAACAGCCCGGAGGACTTTTGGAGCCACTGCCAGTTGCAGAGCGTCCATGGGAGAGCGTCACTATGGACTTTATCACTTGTCTACCGAAGTCCGATGGTTATGGTACTATTATGGTAGTCGTGGATAGATTTTCAAAATATGCCACCTTCATGCCCGCCTCACCAGGTTGCACTGGCAAGGAAGCTGCCAAGCTATTCTTTAAGAACGTGGTGAAGTATTGGGGCTTACCAAGGCATATTATCAGTGATCGAGACCCCCGTTTTACTGGAAACTTTTGGAGAGAGTTATTCGACATACTTGGCACGGAACTGCACTTTTCCACTAGTGTCCACCCACAGACAGATAGACAAACGGAACGGGTCAATGCCTTACTAGAATGCTACTTGAGGCATTATGTAAGCGCGCATCAGAAAGATTGGGCAAGGCTTCTAGACATCGCCCAATTCTCTTATAACTTGCAGCGGAGTGAGTCCACGAGGCGGACACCATTTGAGCTAGCCACAGCCAACAGCCACAAACTCCACATTCGTTACCAGCTGCGTTCGAGGGAAAGAGTTTGGGGGCTTATCATATGGCCAAAGGATGGGAGGAGCAGCTTGACATTGCTAGTCCTACTTGGATAAGGCAGCTAAGAAGATGAAGAAGTTTGCGGACCGTAAGCGCCGTCCCACGGCCTATAGAGTTGGGGACATGGTCATGGTGAAGTTTAACCCAAGACAGTTCAAGGCACTACGGGGCATGCATCAGAATCTGATTCGCAAGTATGAGGGGCCATTTAAGATCGTCGCCAAGGTAGGCAAGATCTCATACAAGCTTGATATGCCATCGTATCTTAAGATCTACCCTGTCTTCCATGCCAGCATGCTTAAGCCATATCATGAAGATAAGGATGATCCGAGTAGGGGCCAATCAAGTCGAGCGCCTACGATTATCACCGCCTCGCATGATCGGAGATTGAGGCTATTATGGATTACCAGGCCAAGCGAAAACAAGGGCAAAAAGCCACCGCTGTGTTCCTCGTCCATTGGAAGGGGCAATCACCGGAAGAGGCCACATGGGAACGATATGAAGACTTATGGCAATTCAAAGGTAAGATCCGAGAGTTTATGCAGCAGCATTGCGCCGCGGTCGTCGCAGTATTAGGTGGGGGAGAGTGTGATGACCCGCCACGTCATCATGCCACATAGGCGCCATTTGGCATATATTAATGCCATGTGGAAGCTTACATAAGAAGAAGGCTAGCACTTGTGAGATCCTCTTCTTTTCAGCAGTTTTCCGAAGTACTACTGCCAAAATTCTATACCTCCATAAACCATTGCAAATCCCCTTGAAATGTCTAGAAAACAACCTCACGAATTGGAATTCTTTTTTTTTTTAGGGGGGGGGGGGGATAGTGAAGAACCAAAATAGAAGTGCAAAATAGTAGGAACGACAGACTAACCTGTAG